GGGCGGGGGGGGGGGGGAGACAAAGTGCGTCGAGGAGGTTGGTTTCGGAGGAGTTGGTTGTGTGCGAGCGTATCGATCAAGTGTACTTCGTCATTGTCTGTGCGTTTTGGCTCCTATTTGAATTCGAAAATATGTCTGGAGTACTAAGCTGGAGACAAGTTTTACCGAAATGCTGCGAAATTTGCTATGACCTTTGGCAGTGTTGCGTGCGATTACGGTTGGCTATTTACTCCCACGCAGTGGATGCATGCTTCTCGCGTGTCATTGCCTTCATGAGTTTTGCAAGTGGACAGCTCTTTGTTCCCTCTGTTTCAGATTTTGACCAATGCCGACTTTATCGATGGATTTTTGATCCGCTACCGCGACCTGTCGAGCGGGCGCTACGACGTGCTGAGCATCCACAACTCGGGCGGCAGCGCCTACATTGTGGCCAAGCTCAGAAAGTTCACCAACTACCAATTCTTCCTGGTGCCCTTCTACAAGATGGTGATGGGCAGGCCGTCCAACATGGTTGCGGTCCGCACGATGGAAGACGGTGAGTGGCGAGTCCGTCGACACTCGGACTTCGACGGGGCATCGCATGCACCTGAGAGAGAGCGAGAGAAGAGAGAAAAGCGAGAGTGAGAGAGAGGGTATATATATATATATATATATATATATAATATATATATATTATATTATATGGCTTGTTTTATGGAACCCTGGATTTGATTTCACTGCTGAGCTTGATGTTAACATGCCAACTCATTACCGTTAATGGAAATGGGGATGTCAGATAGAAAAAGCGCAGGAGCTGAACCTCAACTGAACATGATAAACTGACGGCGGTGTGTAAGGTTGCAGTAGTGAGGAGCGTCTTCCGTTATGCTGACGCGCCTCTCCACCTCCGACAGCACCCAGCGGTCCTCCACTGAACCTGACCGTTCGTCCCATCAACGCGACGGCCGCCGCCATCTCATGGCTGCCCGCGGCCGAGGCGGACCGCAACGGCATCACCAGCGGCTACCTGCTACACCTCAGCCAGCAGGGGGCACCTTCCGCTTCAACGTCACCGTAAACGCCAGCACCACGCAGGTGATCCTGAAGAACCTGACGGCCGGCGCCGGCTACCTGATCCGCACGGCGGCCGTCAACCGCAAGGGCACAGGACCGCTCTCGGAGCCAGTCAGCTTCCGCACGGCCGACGGTGACGCCCCTGGCGGCGGCGCTGCCGACCCGCGGCTCGCCTCGCCCGTGAAGAACGTTGTGAGCGAGGTGTGGTTCATCGCCACCATCGGCGCGCGCTGGTTCTGCTGGCGCTGGGCGTGTTCGTGGCCGTGGTCTACTGGAGGCGGCGCCGCGAGAAGAAGGCGCTCGGAAACCTGACAGGTGAGCCGAGCCGCGGAGGAGGCGGACAGTGTGCGGGGGGGGGGGAGGCCGAGCCGCGGAGGAGGCGGACAGTGTGCGGGGGGGAGCCGATCCGCGGAGGAGGCGGACAGTGTGCGGGGGGGGGGGAGCCGAGCCGCGGAGGAGGCGGACAGTGTGCGGGGGGAGCCGAGCCGCGGAGGAGGCGGACAGTGTGCGGGGGGGGGGAGCCAAGCCGCAGAGGAGGCGGACAGTGTGCGGAAGGGGGAGCTGAGCCGCGGAGGAGGCGGACAGTGTGCGGGGGGGGGGGTGGGTAGAGAGGGTGTCGGACGAGCACGCCCATGACAACCAAAGAAACTGGCTAGCTGTGCATAGTTGAACGATAATCAGGCGCCTCAGCGCTAGGATTTTAATAATTGAGACCGCAGCTACCAAGATCATTAAGCCTTCTCCCGGGTTTAGTGTCCCAGAGTCTCCTCGGCAAAGCTCCGAGCGACATTAGCGTACAAGCCGCAACCGGCACCTCGACCCTGACCACACGAGCCCACCGTGGTGTCAGTATAGTCACGCGTCGTGGCACGCCCCGGTGCGACAACGCGCCGCTGGAGCGCTCTGACCAGCCGCTTCCTCCCCGTCAGTGACGTCAGGGAAGCCGGATGACACATTTCGCCTGCTGCCGATGCACGGCGAACGTGGCGCCCCCTGGGTGGATGCGTCGTTCGACCGCGGCTGGCGAGGCCAGTTTCAGAAGGAGCCGGAGACGAAGCTGCTGAACTGCGACGTTGCGCCAATGGTGGCCGCTGAGTACGCCGAGCTCGACCAGCGAAACGTCAGCACGTTCTACGGCGCCCCCTCACGGCTCGTACCGGCGGCCGGGACAGGTGAGGCTCGTCGCATAACGTCAGTTTTTAGCCAGCTGGGGACGGGCATGACGGTGCAGATCAAAGCCGCTCTCATAAAGTGGGTTTATTCTTCTTATTGCGTGGTCGAGACATCGAGGAAAATTGCCCCTGGGGTGGGCTTGGGCCTTACGTGTTTCAGCTCTTATTGTGATTAGGTAACCTGCCGCACTGCCGCAGTATCGGCAGCGCGTCTTTCCCTAGCAGAAAAAGATTGTTTTTTAGAAAACAGATATTTCTCCACAGCCCGCTTTGCGTCACCTGTACACTGTCCCAGCTTTAATATGCGATGGCACTGACAAGCAGCTACCATTGTCATAACACAATGTCTGTGTGCAGCAGGATGAGCCAGCTCCGTACGCCACCACTATGCTGCTGGGTGGGGCGGGCCGGCGTCCGGCCAGCGCGTGGCTCCGGCTCCGAGGAGCCCGGAGTCGGCGATCAGGGTCAGATGAGTCCAGCGGCGTCAAGAGGGTCCGGCTCCGATTTCGGCGCGCCACCGGGCAGCTCCGGCTCCGGTGGGAGCGGACACAGAGGTGAGGCTGGGGCAGGCAGCGAGGGAAGCCGGCACCAAAGTGAGGCTGGGGTAGGCAGCGGAAGGAGCTGGCGCAGAGGTGAGACTGCGGCTGGCAGCGGAGGTAACTGGCACCGAGGTGAGGCTGGGGCTGGCAGCGGAAGGAGCCGGCGCAGAGGTGAGGTTGGGGGCGGGCAGCGGAGGTAGCCTGCAACGAGGTGAGGCTGGGGCTGGCAGCGGGGGAGCCGGCACAGAGGCGAGGCTGAGGCTGGCAGCAGGGAGAGTTGGCGCAGAGGCGAGGCTGGGCTGTCAGCGGGGGAGTTGGCGCAGAGGCGAGGCTGGGGCGGGTAGCGGAGAGAATGGGCGGGGAGGTGAGAGTTGGCCTGACACAAGCTTACATTTAAGCCCACAAGATCATTATGATATCGCTAAACTCAGCACAGCCGGCATTTCGCCGCATCATATCTCGCTGGGCGCTTAAGGAAACAACCAACCATTGATAAGTGCAAGAGTAGAAGCATCCAGCCCGAGTGTACACGCACGTTATCCGTTCACGGGTTGCAGGTTCGAGGACTCCATGTTTCGACGGCCACCCCGGTGGACACCCGATGCTCGACTTCAGCGAGTTTGCGCCGCCACCACCGCAGTTCCCGCCGCCGGACCTGACGAACAGTACGCGCGCCTCGCACTTCCCGCACCTCCCGCACGGCGGCTCGGCGCCGTCCGTGCGCGGGATCGGTTCGCCGCACGCGCAGCGCCGCCCAGCGGCCAGCTCGGGAACCGGCAGTTCGCGGTCGGGCCGCTCGGCGTGCGGCCGCCAGCCGCTGTACAACGTGAGCGGCGAGTCACGCGGCGGCCGGCCGGCGGAGGAGGCCGCCTACGAGTACGAGGCGGCGCTGCTTGTGGGACGGCGGCGCGGCCGCGCCGGCGAGCCGCGCCTCCAGCTGCAGGAGCGGCCGGGCGCGCCGCAGCTGCAGCTGTACGGCGCCCCGGACGAGTCCGAGTTCTCCGACCGCGGACCCAGCCCCGAGTCGTCCGTCAACGGCGAGACGGGCGGCAGCTGGGAGCCGACCAGCTGTGACGAGGGCAGCGACGACGCCAGCGCCGCCGCCGGCGGGCCGGACGATTTCGGCGAGTCGGTGTCGCGCGCCGCTCAGCAGGCGGGCATGACGTTGAACGGGGGCCGGTCGGCCGGCCGCCGGCGCGCTTCACCCTACTCCACGGACAGTGCGTACAGTGCACAGCCGCGTCCGCCGCGGCCGTACCGCAAGCGGGGACATCCGACGGCCAATACGCTGGACCGACCGTCCGGACCCGGTACGTTGTCGGTCTGGACCGTGCGTGATGTGTACAGAGTGTTGAGTACGGGTCTGAGATAGCTTTGGTGACGTCCATATATTGTGAGTCGGCTCAAAGAAACGACAGCAGTCTGCCCACACTGGCCAAAAGTTTTTTGAAATCACGTGTCGTAATATGGCATATCGGTTGATGCATTCCGATTTCTCTGAGTTGGTGGTTGGGGTGACTCCGACTGACCGAGAGTGGCAGCTCTCGTCCGCTCGGCAAACAGCGTTTTCAAACACCCCGAGTCATTCGGAGAAACTTGCGAACGAGTCACAAAGTTGCACTCGCCTTAGATCTATACTCGTGAATTTTTATCTCTAGGCTCGTTCTTCATCTGAGAACCACTTCACAGGCTCGAACATGGAGTCCTTCCATCCGAACGACTTCAACCAGCGTGGCTACCGGATCCCTGAGGAGCGAAACATCGGGGAGAACGGGCCACTTCTCGCCAATGGCGCATTGTGAACGCCCACACAGCTCCCAGGCTCGTCTCCCTGAGGAGAGAAACACCGGGGAGAACGGGCCGCTTCTCGCCAATGGTGCATTGTGAGCGGTCACACAGCTCCCAGGCGCGTCGTGGAGGGACGCCACATCGTGGGCATTGCGGACCGTTGAACTCTGTGGACTCCGATGCGCAGCTTGGTGGAGTCAACGCGACTGCAGTGCTGAGCCGTGGTTTAGAGTCAGACGTCGAGTAAGCTGAGAGTACTTGTGCCACTGTTCGTGTTTGGAGGTGGCGAGTTCTAGTTGACAATGTGATCCGTATGCTTCAGTGTCTCCACCTGGTTAACCATCGAACTCTGAGCTATGCCATTTTGTTATAGTAACCGCTTTCTTACTTTTATAGCAATAGTTTTGTGGTTCCACACCCACCCCGTGTCATATACGCACCACACTGAACAAAGCTAGGCAATAGGCTTTTGGTGGCCCCCATGTTTGAGAGATGGATTTTGAAGGCGTAACCCTTTTCAGTTATCTTCCATAGGTCCGACATACACACTGCCTTGCACTGATGCGCGTTTTGATGCTATATACCGTGCAATGCAGCATCAGTGATTTCGTTTGCGAGATTTTTTATCTAATCAATTGGTCGCGTTTAATCACATTACCCGATGAAAATTGTCTCCCCAATACGATTGTGACATTCAGGTCATGCGTGCCGCGGGTTGAGGAAGCCGTATTTGTGACACGAAGCTGTCCCCTGTGACCTGAACCTGCGAATGACAGACCGTGTCACCAAGTACCCTTATCTGAAGTGTATCATTTGCATGGCGATGTTTTCGGAGCAGAACCTATGCGCGAAGAACGCGGAGCTCACGTTTCTCCGTTAGGGAAAGTGAATGTGCCGCTGTCGTGTGAGCCACTCTCGCGTGCACCCGCCATATCCCCGACGAACCGCACCGCTCCGTACTCTGTACACGCGCGTGGGATGTGCCCAATGCCGTTCGTGGGTTCCTCCAGGGCACCCATCTCGCCCCTACAGCCGCGTTGTAGGTGTTCCGCCAAACTGGTGCACGTTCAGGCTGTGATAATGTATACGTCGATTGTGCAGGGCAGTGCGCCGGCGCAATAATTCCCTTGTGATTGTGGACGGCTGGATGTCGGCGTGTAAGACACTGGCGGACGTCAACCTTGCGCGTGCGATGACGTGGGAGGGTCCGCGCGGCGGATGCCGGAGGGGGCCAGCGCAGGGGACATCGAGAAGCGATGTTCTGGGGCGGTGGTCCTGCTAGTCACTTTACGAGCTCACCGCGTCGTCGCTTTGCCGTTGAGTACTGTCAATAAACGCTCGATTTTTAACGGCGACTTGATGTGGAACGTCGGGCTAGTCGTTTGTCAGTTTCATCGGCTGCACATCGGCTCCGCCTCGGCTCACATTATGGAGGTGGAGGGGCGAGGCACCAGAGGCCTTTATTTGCTTCATTTTTTCTATGCAGCGTCTACATCGTCGAGTTTATTTATTAAGCGAGATGTTAATTTCGCAGAGTTGGGAGCCTACCACTGCATACCCTTTTCTGTGACGGAAGCCACGGTTTTGGCATACCGTACATATTGTCGTCCCGTGCAGAGAACTGTTATCGGATTGGTGCTCTTCTTTAATAGAGCTCATGGAAGCATGCTGATGTTATATTCTCGCGTTGTTGGCCAGCGCGCCGCGCTGGCCGTTACCGCGAAATATGACATTGCACCAGTTGCGATATTAATGTATTGTGGTTCAGATTAATTACTCACTTGCTCCGCTTGCCAACCGGTATAGGTGGGCGGGCCTGGAATGCTTTGTTCACTGTTCACCGCAGAGCAACCCTGGCATAGCGCACCAGCCACCGGGAAGGGAAACACAATCTCACTGCTCTTGTTTCTTACACACAAAACTCGAATTGAACCAGTTACTTTATACTTCAAACACTGATACTCGCCTTAGAATTTGTTTAACCATCAAACAATTATGAAAGCATATCTTATACGAACCTTGGCACAGAGTGCAAACACTTAGAGACACATGGGGGAGCCTCCCCTCTTCCCCCTCCTTAAAGGCCGCAGGGTCCCACCCTCTGTAGTTCGTCTCCAGTAACCCACCCCAGAGAGGCTCCGGTGCGGAGCGCCCCGAGAGACCGTCCATCATGTCCCACATAACGCGCGCGCTGGGACGAGACGTTTGCCTCCTCGCGCATGCTCACAACTCGGCTGTCGCACCTGGGGTACTTGGAACGACTGCTTCCGCCACCTAGCGGCCGGGCGCGGCTCCAGTGCCGGCGTAGCCGACAGTTCGGATGACGACCACCTGGCGACAGGTCTCCGAACCAACCACCGCGGGGTCTCGGAGGCGACCGGGCCCGCGACGGATGGGGGGCGGCGCCCGCGTTCCTTGCCACTGACGCGCTCAACGCCAGCCGTGAATGGTATGTGTATGATAACGAAAAGCGCGGATGACTGTGTTTAAAACGTCACCGGCACCTCCTTGCACACGTCCCCCGCGCCTCTCCCGCCAGGCAGAGCTGAGGAGGCAACCCCCACGTATCAGCCGGCCGGCTCGGCGTGCACGCGGCACAGTGAGAGTCCATATCGTAGTGGATGAAATACTAACACTGAGGTGCTGTACCACGAGCCCCAATCAAAAATGCCATGGCTGTCTGCGCGGCAGGAGGTATAGGTAATGGATTTCCGCATCGGGTTAGGCGCGAGGTTAAACACATGGATTGATGTCCATCAAGGTGACCACGCAGACGCGGTGTGTGTCGCACGTGTTGGAATCAGGGGCGGATCCAGGATTATATCAAGGGAGGGCAACCCTTCATTGTGGTGTCACCTGGAACTTGGTGCCGCTTGAGAATCGAGGTTTGGGCCCATGGTGTTGCTGATGGACAGTGCATGACGTGCATGACGAAAATGAAGATTAGGGGCCATTTATGGTGCCCCTGAAATTAGGTGTCTCTTGAAATCAAAGGTTATGTGGATAAGAAGTGGGGATATTGGTGTCCCTTCGCCATGATCTATTTGTGCCTCTGCGGCCCGAAGGGTGCATGGCTCCGTGCCCCCCCCCCCCCCCCCCCTCCCCCCGTCCTCTGGATCCTCTGGACTGAAGTACACGCAAGGAGCAATGCAAGATGTGAAGGTCTTGTTCATTGCTTGGTCATTTTAGCCTTTGGGGCAGAGTGGCACCACACATATGGCTCAAGGCTGAGGAAAACAGTACTTTGCATGTTTCGCGGCATCTCATCACGCTTTTTTTGCTGGATCACAAAACACGTTCATGATTCATCGCATTGTTCTGCATACGCGGAATATGTATGCATCGAGCATATGTACCTGCGAATCTCGTAGAACTGCAAATTTGGTGTGGGTTTGTATCAAACAGATGGTATTCCAAAGAGGAAACACAGAAAACACACACAAACACTAAATTAGCATCTCCGTAAGAATTTGCACCGTGTCCTATATTTTCTCTACTCCGAAACGAGTTAAGACATTCGCTTCAATTTGGCCACCGATATCCATATAGAGATGTCACACTGTCTGGCGCAACTAATACAAATCCTGTGGGTTTCCGTCAATGGTAATGTAGCCGCGAAATCACCGAAGGGGATCGAGTTCGCGGGGACTTTGGTGGGCTCGGACGGAGTGTGGTCGTTCGTATTTGTGAGAAGAGAATCGCAGAGAAGGTTGGTAATTTGTTTGCGACGGGTCAAATGACTGGTCATTCTGTCAATGCCCCGGTTGAGGAGCTATTGTGCTTGATGGATTGGTCCTGAGCTGTCCCGTAAATTCTACTGGGCTAGTCAACAAAAAATGCACCCATTGCACCAGACTCTTACGTGACTGTGGTGCCTTCAGCGCTTTGATGCCAGTACACTCTTCTGCCATACTGTGGCCATGTCAAATTGCACCAAATTTTCAATTAGTTGTTTTTAAAAAGTACTGGGCATGCTTGTTTAAAATAACCAATGCAATATATGAATTACTCAAAATGTAAGCTACCTACCAGTGTAAAGAAATCCACCCACTGCTCTGGATGCCTCATGTCATGCCCTGAACTGGAGTATGTACATTAAATTCAGCCTGTCAAAAATGTGTTGAGGTAAACAAGGCTGGACATGTCTAGCTATGGGAGGCTGGGCTTAGTGTGAGGCTTCAATCAATTCAAGCATATAGAGAGCCTTTGCTTAGTTTCACACTAGCCCCAGCCTGAGGGCACCAATTGTAAGGATTAACCAGCAGATAGTTGTATTGCAGGCTGTTGCTGAACTCAGGCCGTACCACATTGTGTAGATTTTTACCTTTTTTAGCAACATGATTTGTTGCAACATTTGCTCTTTATGCACTGAAATTGTTGATGTCATTGCATGGAACTGGGGAGGAGGCTGAGATTTATGGCATACCTTTTAAGCAGCAAACATATTTTTTGCTGCCTGACCTCTGAGGTATGGGATGGATAGTGAATCTTAGAAAGAACTGCTTCAAGCATTTTGCATTAGGTTTGGCTGCTGAATATTATGGTCTCAACCTGGTTGTTTCACAATGCTAGCTGGCAGCAGCTGATTGCATGCATGTGAGATTTCTTGCATACCATGCTTGATTGATGTAAATCATTTCAAAATAATCAATTCAGGATATTTTGTAGCACTTAAATTATGTTGAGGGTGTTATCTCTACTCACTACTGTGCTATGTATTTTTTCATGTGTATATCACACAGGTATTGAAATAGAGTTTCTTGTTGGATGCAAGAGGATAGGGATATATTGTATAAGGAAATGTGCACTAATCCTATCATTTATCTGCTAAAATGCTAAGTTATACAGTCAAGATGTCATGACTTATCTGTCATATGACTATACATGTCAGCTGTTATTAAATGTCATTTTCTATCATATTAAATGTCATGTCATATTCTATCCACACCTATAGATGCCATCTTTTCCATTATGATATGATCTTAATTCTGAAAAAGAGCTGGTGAGTGAAAGCTCCTGGTCATGTTTAATTTCATGAACCTTTCCTTAAACCAGTTTTCATGATTTCCACAGTGAAATGCCAAACAGACAGCAGCAAAGTTAATGTTTGAAATTGATATAAGCAATAATGGCCAGTTGAGCTAATTGACTCATAATCTGCTGTTAAATGCCAGCAGTCAAATGCCAACCTGATGCCAATGCACATGGTACCCATCAAGCTGAATTGCTGCATGCCAACACCACTTCAAAGCTCTACAGAAGGATTGAGATGGCATATGATTATTACAGATGGAAAGTGTTTAGACTACCATTCTCTGTGGCATCTTAGAATTTACTCATGTTTCGGCCAGTTGATTATCCGGCTGTTACCAGGTGCTGGTCAGTCCTGATTAGCACTGGATGGTGTTTGGCTGTGAGCCATATATATGTCACAACCTGAATTGTCTCCTTGGAATTGCTGGTGTTCAAACTGGAGTCTTTTGCTTATGATCCTAGGCTGCTTCTGCTGAGTGAACTGAGGACAACTAATTGAAACTATTGAACTATTTGAAACATTGTGTGCATGCTAGCACATCAGATGGGGATGACTTTCAGAACAGCTATGCCAGGCAGTAATCAAATATTTCTTGACAAATGAGAGGTGGTTTATTTTTCCTGTCAGTCATGCCAATAATGACTATAAAAATGAGGTTGAAGCAAACATGGCAGTTATTTGTGCATGCTTGTGTCACATGTATACAGGAGCCAGGTATTGGGCTGGGACATCTTTTTTTAGTTGTAGGTTCGTAATTCATCTGCTCAAAATATATGCATCTTACCTGCAAGAAGAAGATTGAACACTTAACAGCAGATTGCTGATTATCATCAGAAGCAGTATTACAGCAAACATTGCAGAATAAGCTGTGGCTGCTTGCAGCTTGCAAGAGATGCATTTTTGTTTTATTTTGCATTTCAGTGAAGTAAAAGTGGAGCAGTCCGTTGTTAGCATTGACACCTCACGGCCACCCTGTCCGTTGTTAGCATTGCCACCTCACCATCACCCCTGCCTGCCCAGCCAGCTGCCGGACGCCGTCATGCTGCCGGCGCTGATGGTTGTGCTGCGGACGTACGCGCCGGTGATCACGCTGCCCGTTGCTGCGCTGGTCGGCTTCGTCGGCTACAATCTGGAGAGTCTGTTCGACCGGAGCACGCCGGCGCCGCTAGAGGGCGTCAAGGACTCGCGCGAGGAGCGCCGCCTAGAGGACGCCGCTGCAGCCGTCGGCTCGCTCAAGGACAGGACATTCGTGCCCAAATCAGTCTTCGAGAAGAACGTGTCGCCCACGCTGACGAAGCCCAGCTGAGGGCGGGATAAGCAGTAGGTTGATTCGTGTTCGCCCTGTGCGGACGATGTTGATGGTGTGGTATTGTGCTAGGCCATGTTGGGACAATGCTGCGTTTCGGAAACGCTTCGGCGTGACGTCGGACTTTTGAGGAGACATGTTGTTTTGATGACATCACTGTAAAATGCTTGACTGTATAGCGCACCGCGTTTGTTGACACCCATCTCACTAGTGGCGCGGACAGGCTCGTTTTGTCTGGAAGAATGACACATTTGTCACCTTAAAAATTACTTGCGGTGACAATGCCGTTTCGTTTATCTGACAATGCCGCTTTTTAGGAGAGGAGAGGGATTTTCGTCGCATGTTCAGGAAAACAGTCGCGTTGTGTGAATCATGACAAAGTTTTTGTGAGTGTTTGCGCGTGAGCCAGCTCGTCCACAGGGCTCGGTGCTGCTGTTCTGGCGATGGGGCATCATCTGCGATCTGGATGAGATTTGGGAGCATTGTAAGCATAGCGGTCACGATTGTAGGGGTTACCAAGCTGCAATACATCCCCTGGGTACAGCTTTTGCACATTGTGGACGCCGATTGTGCGCCAGCTGTACATGACGTCAACAAGAAAAGCTCCTGCGTCCAGACATTTACGACAGCTCGAGTTGTTTTTGTGCAATCATGTGAAATATAATTACGGTCGTATGATAGCCGACAGCGAGTTCTGTTGCTCGCATAAGCCTCTAACACTGGGTTCACTACAGCAGCCAAACTGAAGTAGCAGACAACTAGGTTCCAACAAATGAAGGTTATCCTGCATTACATGTCAGGTGCTTCCAAAAAAGTAAATGTGTGTAGACTGGGAGTTGCAATATGGCCAGAAGGTGCTAGAGGCTGCCTTTTCGTGGATGATTTTATCTCATGTATTCATCTGATAGCCCGCTTACACGCGCTTAACTAATACCGGACCATCCTATAACCACTGCTTTATCAATCACAATTTTCTCATCGATAGTGTCCAACTCTTAGCAAGCTAGACATTCCCCTCCACAATCTCGACAACACATCTGAAGGAAGCCGCGGCAGAAATGTCCACCGCTTCAACGCACATCACCCAGCAAATGCTCATCACCGTCTCACGCGGAGCGAGAGCAGCGCGCCGTCGGTTGGGGCAGCTGCTTCTTAAACGCAGCAGCCCGCTAGAGCCCACAGTAATATGACGGTCGCGTGTGTAACAAACAAGGCCTCCAGCAGCTTGCATCCAGTGAACCGCACATCGGTTTCAGCTGTACAAAGCCACAAACTCGCCACGTGTCTGCGGTGCCCTGCCCTACGGGCCGGCCACTCCACGTCGCCGTGACGGTCTAAATCCCTGGTGAGAGAGAGAGGGGAGGAAAAAGAAAGAGAACGAGAGCAAAACTTTCGAAGCTTTGGAGTCTATAGACGGGCGTCCAGGGCGGAGTACATGTTCGGTGCGGAAGGCGAGGCTGCTCTCAGTGCGGCTGCGCGCGCTGGGCGTGCCCGCACGCCAGAGTCAAGGTAGCGAGGCTGGAGCGACGCTCCGCGACCGCGGACCCCGAGCCTGCAGGCATGTCCAGGGCGGGTGGCCGCCTGGGCTTGACAGCTGCCCTCAGAGTATGTAAACGTTGAGGTTGTCGTTGCGCAGCGAGACCTGGGCCTCGTGCAGGATGCGCAGCCGCGGTCCGATGGGCACGCCCAGCTTCTGCAGTCGCTCCTCCGTCATGTAGGGCAGCTCGAGCATCCCGATACGTTCCCGCTCGAACAGGGTGGCGTATTTCTGCCGGAAAAAGGCGCGGTGCGTCCTCATCGGTACACGCACGCTGACTTTGTGTCCCAGACAACCGGCTCACCTTTTACTCATCCCATGATGAATCGCCTTGCACCTGTATCCCAAACTAGATTGCGTTCCCTATCAAAGGTTCACCAATCAAATTGCATTCCATACCAGAGGTCCATCAATCAGACTGCATCCCACACCAAAGGTCCACTACGCACCAGACCAGCAGTCCGTTCCGCACCCAAGACCACCAGCCCACTCTGCATCCTAGGACGGCAGTTTATCTCGTGGCCCAAACCACCAGTTCATCCAGGATACTATCTGGCCCACACACCTCGTATCCTAGCTTGTTGAGGAAGAGCCGCAGCAGGGGCGGCTCGTCGCCGAAGAAGCGCGTCAGTTTGCGCACACGCGCCGGCTGCGTGAGCGAGGCGGCGCCGCTACTGAGCAGGCCCCAGTTGGCGCCGGGCCGCGCCCCGCCGCCAGGAGCCTGCCGCAGCTGGGCCAGCTCACTACGGATCGACTCCATCTCCTGCGGCGGTGGTCAAGGCGCCGGTCAGCAGCGGTCAGCAGCAGTCGGCAGCGGTCCGGCAGCTATCAGTGGCGGTCAGCAGCGGTCAGTAGCGGTCCGGCAGCGGTCAGTAGCGGTCCGGCAGCTATCAGTAGCGGTCAGAAGCGGTCAGTAGCGGTCCCCAGTCAGTAACGCTCGACCTGCCTCACGGCGTGGCTACAGAAGGGTAAACCGGAAGGCACTCATTTATCACAGGGCAAATATATCTTAAGGTATGGTCAATGATCGTCGCAGCGAGTCCGCAGCGGGTGGGCGAGACCGCTTTTAGCTAATTTAAGTTCCAGTTGACTTTGGCATTGACCGATCATCGGCCCCCGCCTGGCGCCACGTGACCACTGACCTGGAACATGAGGTGCTGGGTCCGCATCTCAGAGGAGAGGTGGGCCACGCTCCTGGCCAGAGTCACCACGTGACTCTCCAGCCGCTGGAACCGCTTGTTGATCCCCTAGAGAACGAGCGAGGATTCATGTGGTCACACAGCGTTACCACATACATACGCTTGCATGCATTTACACCACGTTAAATGTTCGTTATTGGCTGCGAGAACATTTTAAAACGTTGCTCCGACGCAGTCCTGTCTCGATATATGTCGTGATTCATCAGACCACTTCTGTTCTACCAGAGAGCGCAAACACACTGACAGGCATTCAGAGATAGCCACAGAACGGTATATTTCCAGTCAGGATATGTTGTCAGCAGAGATATCTAGCACACCTGTCCAGCAACTCTAGACCATCTTCTTTCGATATGCAGCCAGTCCTGGAGCAGACACAAAATGGTGGCTTGAGCTGTTTTCGGGTTATCATCTTGGAATACACAAGCTCTGCGCCTATCATCCCAAAATGTCCCGGGGCCTGCCGTCAGTCAACGCCGGCCGAGTCTGCTTTACGCTCAGCCACCTCCCGCGCACCCCAAGCCGGGTGTCCCGGAGCCTGCCGTCAGCCACCGCCGGCCGAGTCTGCTTTACGCTCAGCCATCTCCCCCGCACCCCAGGCCGGGTGTCGGGCGCCTCACCTTGGCGTCTCTGAGCTGCCTGCGGTCGTCGCGGCGGCGGTCGCGCGCGGGCCGGCTGCCGATCGAGGAGGGCAGCGAGGAGACGCTGCCGCCGCCAGGCCGCGGACGACTGGTGCCGCCCCTGGCCGGCCGCGGCGCCGTCGGGCTCCGCCCCTGGCCGCCCAGCAGCCGCAGCACCTGTGGTCGGCCAGCCGCCATCAGCTTACGCCAGGCTAATGTCGGTGGCGGCGGTGTTTGTCTGTGGCGAGATAGTGTGGCACAACGGGCCGAAAAAAGGCGACACCTAGCGTGCGGAGATGATGTCGCATAAGGTGAGGTAAAATATTGCTGGAGAAGGCAGAGAGGCCAACTAAAACGGCCTGTGTTTCACAAATTTCGAATCAATCGGTAGTTGTGCAACGTTGATAACAACGCTAACAGCGACACGGCGTAATCCGAGGTTTGTGTAAAGACATTGCGAGTACTATACTGCGATGACGCAAACGCAGCAGCGCGGTTAGAGGAGACAAATGACGTCAATGCGTCCCGTCCCGTCCCGTCCCACCTCGGAATACATGGTGCCCAAGCTCTGCAGCTGCTTGCGGACCGTGGGCCCGTCGAGTCCGGCCTCCAGCACGGTCGATTCGTCGTCGGTGGTCTGGTCTGTGGTCTGGTCTTGCGCCGACTCCAGTTCCCGGCCGGTGGTCAGCGAGGCCAGCTCGCCGCCCAGCCAACCTGCCCGACGGCAGAGTGGTGAGGGTCTCCGCACCGCGGCGTTGCTAGACGGAGGGCTGCGATGCAGCTGTTGTCCAGGGGTACAGCTGTGGGGCGGGCGCGGGGAGAGCGTGGAACAAGCAACAACCAGCATGGTTTGAGCGCGTCTCTGTCAAAGCCATGGTGATGCAGCATCAACAAAAAGTCTTGATGACTACACGCATTCAACTTGGACGACTTCTCCCGAGCAGGGCCGGGCATTTTGATACACATGTTAAGCATGGTCAAGCAACATTCCCCGTGCATGACCTACACCTGCTGCACTGACTGTCCCTGAATGCAACCTTGACCCGGGTGACCGAAGCCTTCCAAGTACGGTCACGACCTGCTTCCACGGAAATATCTGCGTCCGGGGCTGATCGGGTCAGGTTTCAGCGGGGCGCTGACCTGACGTTCCGGTTCGATTGCCTGTGGCGCCTCGCTGCCGGGCTCGCTGCTCTCGGGTCATCACTGGAGACTCCTTGCTGTTCCGGGGCGCCCAGCCGCGGCCCTGGCTTGCGCCGGGCGTTCGCCGCGTCGCCGAGCCAGAGCCTACCCTGCCACCGGGGAATGGGCCGGCGCCGGGCGCTGCGGCGTCCTCCAGGAGGTCGGGCTGACTGGAGCCGACGGCGGCCGGCTGGGCCTGCCCGCCGCCCGGTCTGGAGGACAGGTGGGGGGTGGTGACGGGGGACCGGGGCGGTGAGCCATCCAAGGCCGGCAGTGGGGGCGTGGCGCCGCCGCCGGTCCCCGAGGGCGGCGCGGTGACCTCGGGTCGGCGAGAATGGGGTTCCAGGATCTGACGCAGCTCCGTCTCCGCCACACGGTCTTGCCATTCGGGCTCCATGCCTGGAAAGGGCAACGTGGGGACGTGATGTAGAACCTTTCTTACTGGAAATGCTCGAACATCCCCAACCTTGTTTCGGTTACGAACAGCTGATCAAGCGCTACGGTCCATATATGTGCTTTTTAGTCGACTAGTTGTCCACACCACCCAACATGAATCACTTCACTTCAAGTTCGCTGATATTTCAACTGGATCAGTCTCATGACGCAATAGAGTTGCGTGGACTGCCGAAGCTATTCCGGAATCAAGCATAACCAAACAGCTGCATAACATGACGTGTTGCCATTCCTGCCAGTCTGGGGTGTCACTTTCTAAAATCATTTGGGGAAGGCTGGGCCAACAAGGTTGACCTAACCTGCACCTTAATCCTGATTTCTTCCCCTTGATTTCGGCCCGTTTGATTTGTACCCCAGTTGCTGGAATTTTACTTTAAAAGTATTTGATAGGTTTGAAACTTGTTTTGATGTCGAGGAATGACTTCCTATTTGAAGCCAAAGTAATAGCGATGATGGTATACGATAATGATTTATCGATAGCTATGTGTTTACATAACTACTGTACCAGCAGCTCAGGGACGCTTGCTGTATCGCTGATCTGCATCTCTGCATTGCATCTCCTTTTGATCACAAGCACTGGTAGAGGGGGGGGGGGGCTCAGAAGAGCACTCAGGGGGCTCGTCATTGTGGGCTCAGACATCCTTCCCCTACGAAAGCCTACAAAGCGACGCCCTTTTCTGGGCGCAGGTCTTATCCAGCTCGTACCCGCGTGGCCGCCGCGCTGGCCGGACGGCTGCTTCCGCGGGCGTCCGTCCGAGTCCAGGCTGGAGTCAAGCTGCACCGGTGGCGCCGCCTGATGAGCGCCGCCGTGCGCCGGGCCCGGCGTCTGGCTGCGCAGCGCCTCCCCCGGCCGGCTTCTGTCGGCGCCGGTCTGCTCCTGGCCCGCCTGCTCCTGTCGCGGCGTCAGGTCCAGGTGAGAGGACACCGGCGGGCCTTGCGGCGCGGCATGCCTCGGAGCCGATGCGCCCGCCGGGCCGCGCGGCGCCTGGCCGTACCCACCGTCCGTCGGCAGCCGGCTCTGGCTGCCCTGGCGGCTCAGGTAGTGTCCGGGCGGCGGGAGGCGGGTGCCGTACGCGGGTGGCGGCGGCCGCGGCTGGTGCGGAGAGAACCCGCTCGGCGGCGGTGCTCGCGGGCTGCCGGGGTACGCCTGCGCCGGCGGCGGCCGCTGCGGCCGGGCGTCGCCGGGCCTCTGTGCGTGCGCGCCGTACCCGCCGCCGCCCTGTGGACCAGGGGCGGACGTGCGCGAGTAGCTGTGCGCCTCGTGGTACCCGGCCACCGGCGGGGAAAACTCGTGGCCACCGTTGATGTAGCCCTGGCTGCCGTGGTACTGGCCATCAGAGGTGAGGCCGTTGGTCAGTGGACGGAGCAGCTGCGGGGAGCCAGGCCCGCCGCCCGGGCCGCCGTACTCGCCGTACTCGCCGTACTCGCCGTAGCGCGCCGCCCGGCCCCGCGCGGCAGCCTCCGCCGGCCAGGGCGTCCGGTCTCCAGGCGCGCCAGCCTCCGCCGCCAGCGAACGCTGGCTGCTCCGCTGGGGCGCGCCCCGGCTGCCGGCGGCCGGCGGCGCGTGGCCGTTCAGCCCCGCCACGCCGCCGTGATCGTTCGGAAGCAGCGGAATCGCCCTGCCCTCGTCGTCAGGTCCGACTCTGCTGAAGCGGTTGGACAGCATGTCCTTGATGTGGTGGTACCTCTTGGTGAGCACGCCGTTCGTCGTCCGATCTGGGGCGGCGTTGGCCACGTCGAACATCGACTGGCTCACTCCATTGCTCTCCTGCCAGGCGCGTGGGATCGGTAGACCCTGGAAAACAAATGCCCTTCTGAAACTGGTGTAGTGATATTTCAAAACATTGACGCCCGAAGTACTGGATGCTGTCGGTGCATTTCGATTGAATACACCATAAGTGTTCATAAGCGTTCTTAAACATATGTTAAAACGTGTATTACAAACGTTTTCATGACCATAAATCGGATGGCTAATGATCGGATAAAAAATATATATGCCTTAAATGCCAACAGGAATAAATGTCGAAGTGGATATGATCGAATAGCAAAGCATCGATTGTAACATGTGACGTAAAGATCGGACTAAAAATGATAGAATGAGGACATTGTTGAAGACGCTCCATAAGGAAACAAATCTAAATTCAAGAGGAAATGAGTCCCACTAAAAACCTCAACAGCCGTTACGCACATTTCCGGAGGCAGTCAACGTGTTACTGCAAGAGAAGACATCAAAATGTTAAATTTAAATAGCACCCATTGGTGCAAAGTTTAATAACAGCATATTCTAAGCCGTTTGTGGTTTTGGGTGGCGAGATATGGCCCACATAACATGCGGAACAGAAGTAATGCTTCGCCCCCCCCCCCCCTCTTTTAAAATGGATGTGCATTTCATTGATACTGAACTGAAATCGGACACGCAAAATTTATTAGTGCCCTAGCCCTAACTTACCCCGACTAACGTGTTGTGCATATTTTTGGTTTTCTAAAAAGTGTTCAATAATTCGACATATAGCAAATAAATGATAATCGGTATCACGCCTGCCAACCGATGAGAATACATTTCGTTGTGTATCGACGGGTGCAGACGGCCAATGCTGTAAAGGGTTTGTTAAATAATTCCGCTTGCTTTCGTTTTTCGCCTCACAGTTCGCATGTTTTGCCAGGTCTTATAGCAATCATACCTAAAACGCCCGCACAAAATAAGCAGCTTTATACGTTGTCCGCGTTTCATGCAAAAGCTTTAAGGCCATGTCTGCCAATAACTCACGTGACGATCCTGGAACCAGCTGTTTTTGCGGCAATAACCTGTTTTCAATTTGCAGTAGTTTAAAGACATTTTGGCTTCAACCCTGTGTAACGGTTCCCTAAGCTATCCTCACCACGGTAGCGAATCCGTGACTTCCGAAAGCAGCTCAGAGTTGCTGACAAGATCACTCAGGGCCAGATCAGTTCTCAGAGTAGGTGTCATTGCCATCCCTGGGAACCATGCGGATTGGTCTGCTGTTGAGCTCGTCTCATCCGCCTTGATAAGAAAAATTACCGCTATTTTAATCCTATCGTGCACCCGTGAGAAAAATGTTATCATCTAGTTTTTACTGCTACGAGCTAGCCGCCAAAACAAGCTTATTGAGTGCATCTTACTTTGACATCTCATCCGCTGGGTTGAATGCCGATTAGGCGAGCAGTTTTGCTCAAAGATTGACATAAACTGGACATAAATAAAGTTCCCATTGTTTTTCCACTCATTAATTGCAATGAACCTGGACGGGATCAGCTCCGGAGAAGCCGGACAGTTTTTGTTTTAATTGATTTATTGTTGGCTGAACACGAATTTGGCGGATCAATGAGCTTTCATATCTTACTTTGTACACCTAATGTTGACTTATTGAATCTGCAACTTTTCCTGCATCCACGGCACCATGACAAACTACATTCTGTATAGCATATAGATTGTACGGCAAGGGGCCGCCCATAAATCGCGTTACGAAATTTTGATTATTTTCAATTTCCCTCCCTACTCAGTACGCACTGGCTACCCTGGGTGATGACCCCTCTCCACTGATAACGCTATGTTGGGCTAAGCAGGTGTGGTGAGTTTGTCCGCTAAACGGGCTTAAGGGCGAAACAAAAGGGGCGTGATGTTTGTCATGAGAGGAGGCCAATGATATACGGCTCTAAGATTTTAAAGCATATTTTAATAGGCTTACTTGCAACCGCACCAGAGCTTACCGTTATGCTGTCTACCTACCCCTCCTCCCCCGAACGTTGCGCTGTCTAGCCCCCCTCCTCCCCCTAACGTTACGCTGTCTACCTCCCCTCTCCCTCCCCCCCCCCCCCATACATGAAAGGTTTCCAACGACTATGCACGCATAGCCAGATATTGAGGGAATTCAGACAAACACTGAAACCAACGCAGAGTAAATCGCGAAGCTTCTACCGATGCGAAGAAATCAACTGCACACTCTAACATCGTGGCTGTAAATCAACCGAGGGCCACGCGTTCTTTGCCATGTGCCTGCATTAATATACCCACCCTCACCATGGCGTAACCAGCACTGGGGTTGGAGTGGTCCGAACCCTTGTTTTCTGGAGGAAGGGAGAGACGGTACCATTTTTTTTTGGGGGGGGGGGGGTTGAATGCATCACACGACATCGATGTAGGCTAGCCCCATGGACCTGCAATGTGGTATCCCGCCCTTGGCTGCCGCGCAACAAACATGCAACCAGAGCTAAACCGCGGACGAATGACTAGGTCAAGCAGTCGAGCCCCGAAATCACCTAGTTCCACCAACTGTCCTTAAGAGTTAGACGGATCATGGTTGTCTTCTGCTCCGGCAGTGTTTTTTTTTTCACACACACGGTGTGCTGCAGACCGACTGCAGCTATGGGGGGGGGGGGGGGGTCGATGCAAAGCAACAGCTATCGCCTGTAACGGACCAGCGTGCATGGCTGTGTGCAGCTCCGTGGCAGGGAAGGGTACCGCGCTGATGAGGCGATCACAAGGCTGCAGCCCGCCCCACGGGTCAGTGAAACGATGTCGAACTCCCAACCGCCTCTGGGAACCTGACCTAGTCAGATGTTCTCGTAGATAAGGCGTCGGATGGAGCTGTCTGTGGGTTCCGTCCATGCGGTGTCGGGTCATGAATCGGCCCACAAGCGGCGCTGGTTTGCGAGCTCAGTTCGCCTCTCTTTGGTCACGGAAACTAAATGAGGCCCGCGCAGCTTAGACCGCGCGCCAGCTGCAGCGCAATCGAGATATCTTAATAATTCAGCTGCATCCCCGCTTTGGGAGCACGGCCGGCAATGCGTCACACTTGGGCATGAGATGCGACGATTTTAATTGCGCACCACGTCAAATGTTTTATTGGACAAATTGCAACTGCCGCGAGTGGTTACGGCGTGGTTGACTGTAACACGCATCGATAATTAACACCCAACGGCGCGGCAGCCTTCAAAGGCGCACAGGTTGTATGAGACGTGCACTCATGCCGCATGAGTGTTCTCCAAGAGAACCAAACTGACAACGGCTGTAGATCTACTGGACAGCGCAGCACAATGCTGAGCGAAGACTGAGACTGCCATTAAGCTACAACTGTAAGATATTTGTTTCTTTCTCTGCTCTTCCCTCGGCATTCGAGCCACTTCCAGCTATCACCTCGAAGCCAAGGATGCGCCGAGGAATGTAATTCGATCAGCGGTATAGCGAGCATTCCTGCCTAATCTCCCGCACCATTAATATTGTTCCGCGTGAATCACTGACAGTGGTTGGCGTTACGCGCGGTGCCGCCAGCGTCCCATTGAAACGAACCCGCAGTTTCTGTCATTCGATTTATCACGCTTGAGAGCCACCGAGGTACGCGGAGCAGCGGACAGGCCCGGATCTGGCGCCAGCCGCACATTACACAGAGTAGCGGACAGGCTCGGACCTGGCGCAAGCCACATAGTGTGCGGAGCAGCGGACAGGTCCGGGCCTGGCGCAAGCCACATAGTGTGCGGAGCAGCGGGCAGGTCCGGGTCTGGCGCCAGCTGCACAGTACGCGGAGCAGCGGACAGGTTCAGACCTAAAGTCAGCCGCGCGATATGAGCTGAAGAGAGAATCTTCGGAGGCTCGTCCTGAGATTGGGTGCGGCTGATTACACACCCGGTATTTCCGTGAATAAGTTTAGTCTGGAGGAAACGGAGAGCAGGAACATGTATTTACGCAGGATATACACGCGCGACTTTCAGCGCATATAGCCCGGTGCCATTTGTCTTACGTTCTGAATCCATAATTTTCAAACTCAGAGGCGTGCATAATTTAGAAATCTAAAACTATCTATTTGTACAAAATTTATACCGAATATTCACTAAACATAATAACATGGCGAAGTCAGATATAAATGGCGCTAACAGTGCGCCTTTTTCATCGCTCATAGCTCACCACCTTGTAAAAGTTGCATTTTTGTTTGAAGTCATACAATTAGTGCGGATAGTGTAGTGGTTGAGGTGCTCGTCTGGGAAGC